TTACAAATGACAAATCTGTTTGTGTCAACATCGCCATATAAGCATTTTAGGTTATATACTGGTCTAAGTGGTTTTGTAGCGGGCACTCCGTGCGGCCCCGTATCACAGAAAGGGGTGAACGAGGTCACAAGAGGCCCGCTGACGTTTTTTGAAGACGTTAAATCTGACGGTGAAACAATATAGACGACAGAACGAGGATATGTATGATAAATGCTAATTTATTCAGGGAAAGAAAAAGGAAATAAAGATGGTCGGAACGGTGGAGGTGCAGAAGTTTTAGTGCAGGCATTGATGGTCGAGGTTGGTGTTGGTAGGATCATCGTTGTTGGGGGTTGAAGCTGATGTGGGTTGTTGCCAGGATGATCGATTGGTGGCCGTTGAAGTTGATGTTGGTTGATGCCAAGATGATCGCTGTTGGCTGAGTCGTTGCCGGGGTGCCAACTTGACGTGTTTGTCGTTGCCGGGGTGCCAACTTGTTGCTGTAGTTCGTGTTGCCAACTTGTTGTTTGTCATTGCCGGGATGCCAACTTGACGTGTTGGGAAGGAGAGAGAGAGAGAAAGAAAGAAAGAAAGAAAGAAAGAAAGTTCCCAACTATCGTCAAATTGGCAGACAAAAAAAATGGGAGCGTAACTTAATACACAGCCCGTTGATCGCCGACCGCCTCCTCAGAATCTAGCGAGAAATCACTATCTTGTGACAAGGGAGACCAGCAAGAGAAATTGGCTAAGCTAACCGAAAAGTCTCTATAATAAAATACTACGAGGTTAGCTAAAGAGAACTAAGGTCTAAAAATGACTAGTAGTATATTACAACGAGGTTTGTAATATAACTAAAAAGGGGATTTGCTAGTCCCTCCGACGTGTTAACAGTGTGTAAGGAGCATGAATGAGAGGTCAAGGTCGAAATGACCTGTTCCTCTGCCGGTTCAAGGATAGAAGGAGGAGGTAACTCCGACAGTTTTACAGGCTTCCAGATAACGGAAATATACACCATTAGTTTGTAGGGATAAGTGGTAGTCCGAAGGTGCAAGGTTACGCATGCGCGGCAGGTATAGTAAGGTATCCTAAACAAGTTGTACCATTTTCTGTCGGGTCTACAAAGAGACGTGTGGTCAGGCGTTGTTCTGAGAAAAGATGAAACCGTTCCAATTTGACAATTTCGGTTGATTTTTATTGAATACTGCCTTTAATTAGTCAAACTGGTTACAGTACTTGTCTAAACCAGAGTCTGATTTTGCGGAAGGACATCGTAATACACGATGCCCTTCCTATCTCAATAGATACCCAGAATCATCTTTGGATGCAGACCGACTTATGGAGTAGTTAACGGTCTCACAATTCTTTTTTTCCAGAATCCTTTTTGCTCCCTACTTTTGTAAACAATTCATTTTTCATCATCTGTAATGGTTCTTTTAACAAAAAATAAATCGTTTCTGTTCCGTTAGAGCAGAGAATGTGGTCTATTAATTTTTTCTTTTCGGTTAAATCGTGAGCGATCAACGTATCCAAGTGTTTTCAAATGCCTCACAACGTTTATATGTGATATCCCGTGTCATGTGTTATTGATTATTTTTTATCATTGTTTAGATTTGATCGTCATGAACGACTGAAGGCTTGCTGTTTTATTGTATTTTTTTTTTGGGGGGGGGGTACTGTTTTTACAGCGTTCAATTTAAATGTGTGATACAGTAGCACTGAGTACTTCTTTCGTTCTATATACATGGCCCACCCACAAAGGAGAGATGCCTACTCCAGTAGGTAAGCTTGCTCCAGTACAACAGTTTTGGTAGCTTTGTCTCTGCAGGATATGTCGTAGTTAACGTAGCTTTCCAGGTATTTTTCCTGCCTGGCGTATGTTTTCCTGTCGTAAAGCTGAGTACTAACTACCTGGAATACCTTTAGTTTGGTACGCAAGGCCAGCTAACTGCTGTCCCATAAATGTACACATGTTAATATATTAATAATATATGTGTATTTCTTTTAGTCGTTGTGCACAATATTTTATTTCCTCAATCGAGCTCTTATGAGAGAAAAGGATTAAAACCGGTCGGCTCTTTCTAATATTTTTTGTTTTCATATTGATTTTAATGGCGGCTGTATTTTCTTTTTGTTCAATTTTCTCTTCTATTTTAAATATGTCTCTTGTTCATAACACAGAAAGAAATTGTTTATTTACAATAATTTATGTGAAAAGGAAAATGTGTGTGGTTTCTCAAAATGTTCATAAGAAAGTGGGGACTTATTGAAGTAGTATAAAAGTTCTTGGTAGATAATGTAATGTGTCAGTAAAGTTCACGAAGTGTTGTCAAATTTTGTTGATCAGTTTCAGCGTTGATAGGTCGGCGTTGTAACAGGAACGTCCGTTTACTGAACGGAAGCAGGTGCAGGATGATTGTTGTTTGTGGTAAACCTAAAGAAGTTGGCACAGAGAGTTGTTTTTCATTGTATTACTGGAAGAAACTTCGTCCAGTAGCGTGTTTATCTTAAGTGTTATCCCAAAGTTCTTTGCGGGTCATGGGGTATCACAGAATACAAGGCCTTCTTTTCTCAACTCAATGCTAAGAAGATTAATTGTTCTGCTGACTTCATTAGCCGAGACTACACATGCCGAGCCTAATCGTGATGAATAGTTATAAAACCGGTTATTGGCCTCTCATATTGTGCCGGCTAGCTCAATTTTTAATTTCTATCCTTTTGATTAGTTGAAAATAATCTTGAGAAGGAGTTCTTTACTCGAGCACTTTTTCCAGTGCATCTCCCTCTTTTTAATTCTGAATCAAATATTTGTCGCCTCAGTCAGGCTCAGAAGTATGTCTCATCCGAACACCTCATTGGTTGGAAATATCTTCGCTCTAGGTGGTGGAAGTAAACAGGAGTTCGTGTTTTTTCACAGAATTCTTTTATAATCAAGACGATCCTTTTCCACTATTACGCCGGGAAAGTTAAACAAATGCAATATTTAATAAATTATTATTTACCATGTTATAAAGAAATAACTATGAAAAGAAATTATCTTTAAATTTATAAAAATGTCTGCGAGCAAGAGAAAAAGAATTTAAAAACACACAACGACGAGTAAATGAAATTATAAATTTTAGAACAATACATTTTCCGGTAATTTCTTTCATTTTCTTTCGCCACATAAATTCACAGAAATTGGTTCAGAGCCGAATAATATGAATAAATAAATCCAGTTTCATATGTTTGGGTTTTATTAAAATTATAAAAATAGATTTACAAATAAATAAAAATGGCCCAGAGAATATACAGTAATAGCGGTGTTAAAACAGAAACAGTCCTTTTGAGACACTTTTTTACGAGTATGTTTGTTAAACTTGTCATTACTTTCATTACCTTATTTATTTATTTTTGCAATTTTTGACATCACTGCTTTTTTGCAACACTTTCTTTTTTTATCGTTGTGTTAGCGCGTACAAGTTAAATGATAATTTTAAGTATCTCTATTAATCGGAAATAAATCAAATCGTCTCGCCGTGACCGAAACTTTTTCTAATAGTTCTACCATCAACGAAAAACTCTTGTCATATATAATGAAAAAAAAAAACTCTTTTATAACTAAGGGTTAGGTTTGTACATTTCATGAACCAACCAAAATTAAATCTACGAACCAAATAAATATTTTCTCCAAATATGAACTGTGAGGAGTTAACAGCTTGAATGTTACCCACTATGTTCCATATAATTATTTCTACTTCTTTGCTGTTATAGGAATTAAATCCTATTTATATTTTTCAACCAATAAAATCCCATCAGAAATTTTATTGGCTAAACAATAATTACAAGGGTAAATACCGCCTAAATACTTGCGAACGTAATTGTAGACCTACCATGTGTTATTTTGGGACCATTTAGAAAATAACAATAATAACTCATTTTACCACTCCCGCAAATTAGAAAAAAAGATTTTAGCAAGCCAGTGTGAAATTATTTGCTAACTAATGAAAACTTTGTATTCAAAAAGTTCACACCTCTACGTAGGATTAGATTTTGGATCTCCTTACGGATATAAAAATAGAAGTATACTGCTTCTCGTGGCTCAAAACAATGTCGGAAGCCAGTTTGATATACACGTGCGCACATACACGCACCCACACACACACGCATACATTAGAAGAGAGACAGCGAATAACCGTTGGCTAAGGCCTTCTCTACGCACACAATGGAAGGGATTAAACAACAACCGCCTACTAAGCTTTTGTTTACGAACTCACAAACACATTAGGTTAACCGTCATAAAGTAAGTCTGTTCATACATTTCACACCCGACTGTTGTTCCATTAGTGTACATATGCTAATATGTGTAATTCTTTTACGAACTCTTAATTACTTTCTGAAAGAAACTTCATTGCAAGGAAAACAGAACATTCTAATGTTATTGTATATTTCTGAAAAGAGTAAATGTTATTTCAACTGATGTTCTGCTTCTACTCTTCCTTCAGAGAATAACCTTTTTCATGTTTCATTTAAAAGATGTGTTGTTGTTATCGTTGTTACATTTCATTTTTGGAATCCCGACACTCAGATAGCAACAAAAACCTGGGTAATCGGATCCCCGTTTAGTTCATTCGCTACAAAGAGATCATCTGCTTCTTGCTGTCTGAACTAAAAATGTAACTTTATGCAAAATGAATTAAGTCTCTATCTATATTACTAATGAGCTAAATAACGTAAAATAAATTACGATAGTTATTTGGTGCGGCAAAGTCTAAAAATGGTGAAAAGTTATCTCCCTTACATCATCCCGTTAAATTTATTTTATTTTCGTTTTTTTTCCAAACTTAAACAAGCAATTAACAATAAAAATTTAGGACCCTATATCTACGAGGAACTGCTTAAAAGTTATCGACCCTACCATCTTCCCAAAAAGGTATTATTTCAATAACCAAACACTAGATTAGTGAAAGAAATTTGCCGAGTATTTTTAGCGCCTTACGTATTCCATGCAACCACATATTGACCTTTTAATTGAGATAAACCCATCAAATACCATTGCATATGCACAAACACACACAGATAGATAGATAGATAGATAGATAGATAGATAGATAGATAGAGATATGATGAACAAGTGACACTTTGATAATTTTTTAATCTAATTTCTAGGTAGGCTCACAGACGTCCTAAATATAAAAACCGAAAAAAAAAAAAACGCATTTTTTTAATTAATAAATAGGCACACCAAAATTGATGTGCTTTTTTTTTCTCAAATGAAAGCAAAATATCGCTACACTTGTTTTTTTTATTTTTGTTTTTTCTTTTGTTTTTGTTTTTTTGGGGGGTTTTTTTTTTCTTTTTTTAATATTTGTCAAAACTCAGGAAATTATCCTATTCAAGATTTTCAGTATTTAATTAATGAATGAATTGTATACTGAATTGACTATTACTTAAAAAATAAAAAATAAAAATTGTGGAAATATTTTGAGTCTGTTTTACCTCACCCTCTTTTCGGTATCTTTTGTGTACTTTTTAATTCGTGAGTGTTCGCGAAATGTAATTATATTTTAAAGTAAAAAAAATAATCATTACGTTTACGAAATCCAGTTAATTAATCCTTAAATTTCCTCTTTTTTAATCATTTCACCCTAAGCAAGAATTAAGAAGATAACGATTTGTAGTTTAAATTCGAAAGACTGTCTTAAAATTCCTTAGCAGACGTTAATTCTGAGTGACAAAACGTAGATGTTGTATTTCACGTATTGTTTTGCTGTTTGTAAACTAAATTCCTCTTCTCTCACCGTCTTTCGTACACTCCATCTTATTATTCTCAACTCCCGTCCTATGAACCCCGTGATTCCGCGTTAATTTCTTTAGCCAGCTTAAAATAAACAATATATAGCTTTCACACGAGACTCTTTTTACGTACAGACGCCAATGAGATCATTTTTTTTAACCACACGCCCCCCTGATCTCATGATCACATCTCACGTTATATAATCATCCTTCCATCTGAGCGGGTGTCGCTCTCTTTGCGATTTCCGCAATGTTTGGGGCTGAGCCCCATGAGAACTTCATTCTCTAAATCCTCTTGAATCACTCTTAGGTCAAGAATATGCCTTGGCATACCGTCCACCTCAACATTGTTGCGCGACTGTGCCCCGGTAACCATTCCTCTTGTCCATTTTGTCGTGCAGCGGGCTCCAGTTGGCTTGACCAGAACCTCCTCTCCAATCCGTATAGATTCAGGGCCGTCAGAGCGTGTTAAACATGGTGCAACTCTAGGATGCCTCCATTGGTATATGTAAACTGCTCTGTGCGGGACAGTGTCTTCACGTTGGCCAGATTTAGGCGACATATTATACCAAAATACTGCTTCTGCAGGCGATATCCCTCCTCTCTCGGCAATGACTTTTATAGTTCGGTGGTTTCGTTCTACGATACCATTTCCACTAGGCCTGTACGCTGCTCTATAATATTGCCTAGTGTTCCACTTATCCAACATTGACCGAAAAACTTCCGAACGGAACGCTGCCCCATTGTCCATGAGTACCTCTTCAACTGGTCCACGCTCGAAAAAAATTTCCTCCAGCTCCTTCGCAATGATGTCTGCCGTTGTTGCTCGAATCTCCCTCCAAATGGCGAACCGGCCAGGGCCACAATCAACTATTAGTCAAATACATTTCACCTCTATAATGCGTCACATCGATAGATAATCTGGTCCAATTGGTGTCTACTTGGATCTCTCCTAATTCGTGAACATTTGGCGACGGGTCGATTGATTGACAACGATCGCAGCTTCTAACCACCTTCTGTACAGTATCTATTGACACCTCCAGGTAGACTTTCCGTACTAGATATAGTGTTCTATCCACTCCTACATGATGTAGTCCGTGCAACTCCTTGACCTCATCTCGGCCTGCACGGCACGTCGCTGTAATAGCTTTCTCTACTTTCAGCCAACTCTTTTTCACTCTGGTTAGAGCATTGGCCTTATTTCTGTCAGAGGGCACGAACGTTACACTCAATTTTAAATTAAATTCATCAATCATTTCCCTTAGAATCCCCAAACGTCGCATGATAATTAGCTCTGCCGCTCCTTTTGTACGGATCCTTTTTTCGTCTGTTATCGTAAGACTGGTCCAACTGCGGACAGTAACCGAATCAGTTCGAATTTCAATCTCTTTTAGACCCCATTTCAATGCGAGGTTTACACCCTTTATCGTAGCATCCAACTCAGCAACGTTGATATGGTTGTAGTCATGTTTCTTTCTTAGCCACGCCGCATCTTCGACCTCGCACCATCGATCTCAATACATACACCAGTGGCCATACTGCTTGCGTCGCACCATACAACACACTTTTCCATTTTGGGAATATGCCATCTCCCTCGAACCGGATTGTGGTGTCGAACTTCTTCCACAACTTCCCGTACCATACCGGTTGTTTCACTATCCACTATGTCTTCCCAATCGATTTCTTCTGCTCTTCTCTTCAAATAACTGCAGGTGATTCTAAGCCATCCAGCTATTGGGTAGTGGCCCACCATTTTTCCGCAGGCAGAGAACAGTTCACGTCTGCTCATGCACCTCAGGCAGGTCATTCCCTCTCGCAAATACCAGATCTCCTGCTTTATCTGTATGAAGCCGAAGACCCAACGCTGCTCCTCCTTCTAATGATTCTGGTGGCTTTGCTGTTAAGCCAAAGTTGTTAAGATGATTTACAAGGTCTGCCGCTGGTACCACTGTTTCATCCACTAGTATATCGTCAATATACGAATCTGTGTTTTTTTCCGATGTGTTCCTCATTTTTTAGGATTTTTGACATAATTTTCGGGGCTACATTTAGTCCGAAACCCATCCTCGTTAAACAATAGGTCTGTCCCTCGTATCGAACTAACTGGTAGTTCCACAGATGTCTCACGACATGGATTTGCAAATATGCGGACCTTAGATCAACAATATTTGATGCCGTTGTCATTTTCCTTCACTTCCTCATTGTTTTTCCACAAACGTCAATTGCATCCCCACCAGAATGACACATAATGTATTTATTTAGTTCTCGGTAATCGAGAACTGGCCTGACCTTGTTTTTTGTGGGTTGTTCCACCGCCATTAAGGGTAGCACTCCCATCTGAACATCCTGGTCCCACGGGGTTAAGATTCCTTCCTCAATCCATCGTTTAACTTCACTGTCGAACTCGACCTTCTTCTCCTTACTCAATTTAGCATGATAGTGACTAATGTTGTTTTTTAATATTGGGGGTTCTGAAATCCGTTTCCATTCCACGGTCCACTTCTTTCCATCAATTTTTGCACCAAAGTCCTTATCTAACACTTCGCATTGCATTTTTTTTTGCTACTCTTGCTGTTTGGTTGTATGTTCATAGCACAATCTCCTCCGCTGAACTCCACGTTACCATTTCCGTAGACGGTAACCCCTCCAAGCTGGCGGATAACATCCATGCCCACAATGACATCAACACCATCAATAATCTTGTCCATCACAATTGCCTCGATTCTCAGTAACCGTCCACCAACGTCACTGTGCTGATCCCTCTGCACACAACCTTCCGTCCATCCACTGCTCTTACAGTACTTGTACTCCTACAATCAGTCGAAAGATCCGACCGGATTAATGTTGCGGTGCTGCCAGTATCAATTAAGGCCTTAGCTCTCACTACCAACAATAGAAGCGCTGATAGAAGGCACTTCTATCAGCGCTTCTATTGTTGGTAGTGTTCTGGTTTGCGCCATTGCTGATTTGAAGGGGTAACCGCCGGCGCACCGGTTGCCCCCTGATCTTTTCCCTGTGGGCAGTGTTTTACATAATGTCCCTGCTTGCCGCATCCATAGCAGGTCACCTTGATTGGTTCCCTACAGTCTTTCAACAAGTGAGGACCCTTGCAGTTATAACATTTGCCACTAAACGGTTTGATCATTCTTGGTATTCCATCACGCTGTTTAGGTTCTCGTTCTGCGACCGCAATTACTTCTGGTCTCCGAGTGGCTGTAAGCACCCTGGCACTTGAAATTATTTCACTGAGTTCTAGTTTCTCCACATTTGGCAACTGCTGTAGTGGCACCGAAATACTTTCCGGGAACCTATTGACAAACGTGAGCTTCACGATCTGCTCTTGTCCACTTCCTTCAAACCCTGCTGATTCCGCCAGTCGTTGTATTTTCGTTGCATACACATCAACGGCTTCGCCGCTCCATTGCGTCTTCACTAGTTTTGCATATGCAGAAAAAACTCCGTCCGTAAAGGCTGTTTTTAACTTAGCCTCTATTTTCTTTGCATCCCGTTGATCTTCATCGGTCAATTGGAGATATAAGGCCAGGGCGTCTCCTTCTAAAAACAGAGACATAAAACTTGCGAGGTCGTGGATTTTTTGCAGTCTCGCTACCAATTTCACTTTCGCCAACCAGGCCATCAAATCACCTTCGCCACTAAATGTTTTCACCATATCGACAGTTACTTTTCGATTCCCCCCCATGCCGTCACGGTGCTTTATATGTATAGGCCGAAATAGCTTGTAGTTTAAATTCCTTAGCAGACGTTAATTCTGAGTGACAAAACGTAAATGTTGTATTTCACGTATTGTTTTGCTGTTTGTAAACTAAATTCCTCTTCTCTCACCGTCTTTCGTACACTCCATCTTATTTTTCTCAACTCCCGTTCTATGAACCCCGTGATTCCGCGTTAATTTCTTTTGCCAGCTTAAAATAAACAATATATAGCTTTCACACGAGACTCTTTTTACGTACAGACGCCAATGAGATCATTTTTTTTTAAACACACGATTGACATTGGATTTAAAGTTGACTTCGAAACGCATCTTCAGGACAAATATTGGATTTTTGCGAGATCATTAAATTTGTTGTTTACAATTTTCGTCTATAAAGGCGGTTTGATGAGTGGACGAGTGATTATGCCAATGTTTTAAAAAGGTCTAAAAACTTTATTTACATACGGAAATTAATTTTTCTAATGTATTTAAATTATTTAACATGCGTTTTTCGTGTCTTTTAAGACGTCAGTAGCAGTACCAAATAAATGTCTTCTTTGAAATTAAATTTTAGTTCTATTCGAAAGATAATAGCCTAAAGCTATTTTGTATGGAAAGAAAAATATATTTCCGTGTGCAAATAAATAAAGATTTAAGGCATTTTAAAAACAATCTCACGTTCACTCGTCACTCACTGACGCATTGAGCCGCCATTATGAACGAAAAATATGAACAACAAATTTTAAAATCTCTTTAAAATTCAATATTTGTCTTAAAGATGTGTTTAAAAGTAAATTTGTAAATTTAAGAATTAATTAACTGGATTTTATAAAAAAATAATGGTTACTTTTTGCTGAAAAATGAACGAAAATAACATTTATTTACGTACGGTAGCCTGTGAGCTGTCAACAATAATATTTTTCTACTGTCATTTCAGACTTAAAAACCGCTGAAAAATTAAAAAAGAAAGAAATGCGGAACACTAGCAGTGCAATAATCAAGAAATTGATATTTATGTTTAAAAATGAATTATCTTTAACCTTATATAACTGTTGTAGATTGGTGATCCGTCGGCCTTGTCTGAATGTACTTTTTTATATATATATATATATATATATATATATATATATATATATATATATATATATCAAAAGAAATCAAATACATTTCAGAGAAAAAAAATTGTCTATTTTAAAGAACATATACGTATACAGAGATAAAAAGTTTGTGCTTATCTGTTAGTAGCTACATATGCTGCCGGAAGAATGATCCGGACATCTGCTAAGTTTAGCCATCAAAAATGAAGAAAAAGAAAATTAAATTGTGTTTTAATTGGCGAGAATAACGCCTGTTCTGGTGCAGCATGGAAGGATTCTATATTTAACTATTTTTATATAGTCTCACATTACTTTTTGGGGTTAACTCCTTCTTAATTTTCTAATTGTTCACAAGGGGACTCTCTCCCTACATTGTAAATACTGGGCGATTTCTTGCCTCGTCCTCTTTTTCATTTCTTCATTTTCAGCGAACACATCTACAATGTAAGATCTCGCAGAAGATTGCGTCTCCCCATTTGTGGGAGACGCCATTAACATTATACACACATGCACGAACGTACGAACATTCACCAAAATACAAACTCTTTAAGTTCACACACAAACAGAAATGTCTATGTCCATTTTAAATTTTGTTGTTTAATACATATACTTGTGGTATATACATACCGGTCTTGTTGGTTTTCTTTACACTTCTTTATGGTGGATTCAATCTCTGAGTCCGCCATGTTCTTGTAGTAGACCTTCTTGCAGGAATAAACGCCCATGTTCCTAATTTAACAACGCGTAAACCCACGGTCCGCTACAATTTTCTTTATTGTTAATTATCATTCTTATCTATATTTTTAAAAGTAATTTTATTACTTAACTTTTAATTTTTCTTTTATTATTAATTATTTTGGTTTCATACACCTACATAGTCTAGTAGTAAAGGTTAGAGGTTATTTAGTGATTTATTTGTTGCTACCATTACATAACCAATAT